TCTCTATAAAAGTAAGCCTTAGTCTTAGCTAAGAGAATAGCTTATAATACTAGAATACTTTACCTTAACTAAAACTCTAAGCTAGCGTTAAGTCTAGTAGTTAGAATTTCTTTTATAGTTTAACTTCTAGATTATATACTAACTAGGCTTAAAGGCTATTCGCCTAGATACGCTAAGCTAGAAACCTAGAAATCGCCTTGCTAAAATAGACGTAAATAATAATTATATTAAGAATAGATAGTGTATAGTACTTCTCTTAGAATAATTTAACCTAGCTATACTAGTAGATCTTCTTAGAGAGGTCTAGAATACCTAGAATCTATATACCGCCCTAATTAATATTATTCTACTAGCTATAGCTAAGCCTATTAATAACCTAATTAACCTAGCGTACTAAAGGTTAGATATAGCCTAAGCTATAATGTCTACTCTTTAGAATAAATAAGTAAAATAATAGCTAAGAATACTATAAAAAGAGCTAAGAATACTAATACTAGATTATAGAACTCTTAATAGATAGATCTACTACTAAAACTAATTGTTTACTCCGCCTAATAATAAGTTACGAATCTAAATTCTCTACTAAACTTACTCTACTAGCCTTACTAGATACTCTAGCTAAGTTAAAACTATTAACCTAGTTATAAGAGACTACTAGTAGCCTAGAGTTACTAGAGACGTTAAGAAATACGTTAGAGCTTGCGAGCTGTGCATACGTATTAAAAGCTTACGCCTTACTTCTTAAGGCTTTCTTTAACTATTACTAGTACTATTTCGTGCCTAGTTAGATATATCTGTTAACTATATTACCCTATTACTACTATGCAAGAAGAATAGGTAAATATATAAGCACCTGCTAGTAGTTATCTACCGCCTTACTAAAATACGCTATCTTATTCTAGTCTCTTTACTATCTATAGAGAAATTAGTAGATACTTTTATAAGCCGCGTATACTATTTATATAGTACGCTAGATAATATAGTTTTAGACTAAGGCATATAGTTTATTTCTAAATTCTAGCACTACCTCTTAGAGAGGCTAGGTATTAAGCTAAAACACTTATTGTCCTTCTATCTAGAGACTAACAGCTAAACGAAAAGAGTTAATAGTAGTGTTAAACAATACCTTCGCGCGTTTATAAACTTCTACTAAGATAACTAGGTCTAATAGCTACCTCTTGCTAAATTTACGATAAATAATATAGTATTAGAGACTATAGGCGTGTTTCTATTCTTTGCGAACTATAGCTATAACCTCTAATTAGGTTTAGAGCTCTTATAACTATATCTACTAAACTTATCTCTAACGTAGAAATAGTAGTTCTACTGTGCTAACGCTATTACAGACCGCTTTAAGCGTATACTTACCTAACTAAAAGCCCTCGCATAGTAGTCTATTAACTAGTATAAGTAATATACTAATAATTACTAGAAAGACGCGCTACGCTATAAGAAAGGCTAGAAGGTCTACGTTAATACACGTAACATAAAAACTAACTGCCTAATAAAGAAAGGGGATAATAAGATAGCGAAACTATATAAAGTTAAGAAAGTCTACCTACGCGCTTGTCTGCTAGACCTACTACTATCTATAAAAATCTTTCTAGTATTCTATTACTCGCTTCTACAACCTTAACATAATGCTAAAAGCCTTTTAGAATAAGATAAGATTAACAAAGCGAAGTTACGCTACCTGCGTAGAAGAGTCCTAGAACAAAAGAACAGATTAGACGAAGTAACTAAGTAATAGGAATTTAATAAGCTACTTAATAGCTATAATAACTATAGAGACCTATAATACCTTGTTAAATAGAGACACTATAAGCTCTTCTAGCAACTAGTAATAGACCTTAGAGGCTAAGATAAAGTAATTCTAGCCTTCTATAGTATACACCTAGAAAAGCTAGAACTACTAACATAGGTAAGAAAGTTAGCTAAGCTCTAACAGAGATAGAGAGAATTTTTTAGAAGTTAGGCTATTTAAGACAAATAGTAAAGTAGAAGAGGGGTACTATTATAGCACTAATATAGGTTTAGGTTTAGGTACTACTTACGTAACGGCGGCTAGCGTCTTGCTAGCGTCTTAGCGCCTATATAGATATTTCCCGTAGCCTGCTAAGCTTTCTACTTCTTATAGTATAATATATTATATTACTATATTACCTGCTTCGTAATAGCTAGCTATAGTGCTAAGCTAGAATATCTATAGTAAGACCTATAAATACTAGTATAGCTATTATATGTTTTAATTCTTCTAGTTCTCTATTAATTTAGCCTTTCTAGTAAAGGCTAAAGATTTCTTACTCTATTCTATTTTTCGAGAAGAGCTATATCTCGAAAAGTAGAATTATAACAACGTGTTCGTGTCTTCGCTATTAACGATACGCTATAGCTACGAATAAGAAGCGTCTATATATTACTCTGTACTCTAGTAGAGTTGTAGGTAATAAGAAAAGAAGGTCTCTAGAGACGTTCGTCTAAATTACCTTAATATAAGCTAACATCTCTAGATTTTACTAGACGTTTCTAATTAGACTAAAAGCTAAGAAGAGTATAGATATTCCTAGTATTCGCTGTTATGTAAAGAATAACCTAACTAGCGAATAGGTATACGAAGAGAAGAGCGTTAGCAACGTCTAATTAATAAATACACTACTTACGCGTATCGTTATTGTAAAGGTAAAGAATAAACAGCGTCTAGTTAATCTTCTTTAAGGTCTTTTAATTATTAATAGCGACCTGAATTAGAGATGCCGTAGCTAGGTTAGGCAGGCTCTAGTAGAAATTTCGAAGAACAGAAAGTGTATAGGCTCTTCTTAGCTAGATTAAGAGAAAATTAAGACGTTTGTAAGGGAATACGCCGCTTAGAAAACTACTATAGAGAGGTACGAAAAGGTAGAGAATATATTAAAGCCTAAACTAATATATAATCTACTCGAAGAGAAGAAGACTATACGTTAAGAAGAAAATAGTTACGTTATGCTAAGTGCAGATAACTATATTATATAGTGTTCTAACAGCCTTACTACTCGCTCTACTATCTGTTACGCGTCGCTTCTATTTCTAGTTCTTTAGAGTAGAGGTCGAGTAATAAAAGAAGTATACCTTGCTATTCGCCTCTAGTAAGGTTTCTAAACTACGCAGACGTGTATTTCTAATAGAGAGGATACTACCCTAAGAACTTCTAATCGATGATTCTAACTATCTCATTCTTATGAATTAAGATGTTAGACGAGTTTAGATCGCAATGTGTAAAAACTAGGGGCGGCTACTAGCTATCTTATTTACTAATTATAGCTTTAATGTTGTCGGCGTCTTGTTTAGTAACGTGTTCGCCTATCTGTGTTAATTCAAGATCCTTTCTTAGCTAGCGGTGAAACTCTTGGATAGTCTTAAAAGGCCTAAAGCGCGGCGTCCCGTGGGGTAGGCGAGAATCGTACAAGGAGCTACCAACGCAGCTCTCTACTCCCGTATTAGGCGGAGGCTCTAAAGTCCGAAGTTCTTTGATTATCTCCTTTAGCTGCGAGAAGATTTTCCGAAGAGACTCCTTAGATAGGTTCTTCCAGGCACCTGCCAAAGTCTCGCCTCGGATCCGTTCTATGACAATATACGCTCTGTTCTTGTGAAGAAAGGAGCAATAAATTGTAGGGACAGGGATTAATGTATGTTAAGCGACATACTTCATCGTGACGGCTTTAGACAGGTGTACTGAATATCCTGTTTTGAGAATTATGTGCTTGGAAAGCGGTATGCATGGCCCGTCCCGAGTGAAGAACTTCGCCGTGGTACGAAGTGCTAACCGAGCTAGGAAGCGACGAACGTATGTGCTGTTGATCCCAAAGGCTTCGCTGCCTTCATGCTGGGCTTCATAGTTGTTCGCAGGATTAAAGTAAGGACTTGCCATGGCGAGAGCAATATTTATAAGATGGATGAAGGCCGTAGGAAAAGGATATCGCGGTTAGGGGAGGAACTGCGGATAGCTTGTCAAATGAGTGAAAAAGTAGCTCAACTCTAGGTTAGGGTTAATCCACGTACCATATCTCGTCTTTGACGTTGGTAAATAGCGACTGGTCTCGCCTACTCTGGGGCCCTAACCCATTCAATCCTCCTCTTGCAACTCTTCGATGGACTGGACGTTCTTGGAACGCGCGGTCTGGGTGAAGGCAGAGATTTTAGCAGTCCGCTATCTTCGACGGTATTACGCCCACATTCTCGCACAGCGCCTACAGGATCCTTAACGGCGTATGGACAGGTTGGCTTGCGCGGGCTTCTCGTGGGGCGTCAAAGGGTGGCTCCCGAGATTCGAAGACGGTTGTTAAGCTCGCCAGCGAGGAGCCAGCGTTGACGCCAAGCCGGGACACTCCAGCGCCCCGCCAAGCTGACGGCGAACTGCGAACATTACAACAACATCAATATCGCACTCAACACTCGATAATCCCACCTATCGCCACTGCTTATGACATGATGAAGCTGTGTTCGACCGCCTACACTCCCAGACAAAGCGGCAAAATTGCGCGCAACGCCACCTCGCAACGACTGAACGCCGCGACACGCGATAAAGGAGAGACAGATCCCCGAAGGAGGCGGTGCCAACGAAAGAAGTGGTGACAGCGACACCCAGAAAGGGGCGACAAGGGCGACCGGAAGCGACGCAGACGCTCAAAGAAGCGCAGTCAATGCGGGTTCATCTTTACGCTCCAAAGAGCCTTGGAAGACCACCTCGACAAAGGCGACCTGACATACCTCAACCCAAACATCGAATTTCTTCCCTTAAGGAATGCCGAGGAGACTGGTGTATCGCTCCGCGAGCCCATCACGGAGCTGTGGAGCCGTTGCGAGGTGAGATGGGCTTACGTTCGTGACCCTCCCATTCCACTGACCGACCACGACTACAGAATCATCGACGATACCTTGTCCGACGCATTCGAACAAGCGGAGAAATGGCGCGATATAGCATCCGAGCCTCACTGGACATCCGTAGTGGTGGGTCCCATCTGCATCCCCTGCGGCGAATTTGAGGGCCTGTGGCCTGTCCTCGATGTGTATGTAACTCACTATATCTTTACGGATAAGCTGAGCTGACGCCTTCTTTAGGACCCCTAGCGAGATCTCCCCCGTTCGTATTCGTCCTTCTCCTGCTTCCATTTGCTGTGCTTCTCTATTTCTGAGAGAACTCGGCTGCAGCGCTAGTGCGTGGCACGACGCGCGCAGCGACACGCAATAGCCAATTATCCGTAGCGCAAAAAAGATTTTATATATACATCGTCCAATGGCTACAGCGTATTCGAGGCATAGTGAGCATAGGACGTGGGAACACAGGCTTGGTTGGTGGGGGGTGGAGCAGGTTGCCACCGCGATAGTCGACGTATTGGAGTGAGTTCCCGCATGCGTGACGGGGCAAATGGTTCCCACGACATTGGACACTGCGCTGGCCACCGCCACCAATCCACCGCGCTGCTCACCATCACCAATCCACGCCGCTGGCCACCGTCAACCATGGCCAAAAACCGCGATGGCATTGACAGCCCAAATTATGCAAAGCAGTTGCACTAGCGAACCGGTATTTCTTCAAATGATTCTATTCTTTAAGGTGACAGCCTACTCCTACTCATCAATCCTTTTTCTTTCGCCTTTTTTAAGATGCGCTGTAAGAAGATGTACCGGGTAGTGATGTTATCGGTCTCGTGTGCGTATGAGTGGAGGTTACGGCCCATCGACGCACTAGGACACAAAGACATCTTCGTACAACGAGTTCGTATTCACTCATGGCGATTTAGGTCCCAACAACCTAAGGATGGACCCGAATACGCTAATAGTGAAGTGTGTGATCGATTGGGAGCATTCGGGATATTCCCCCCCGGGATTCCAGAAATGGTCGGTCGATGATGGCACCTATCATGCTTTATATGAGGATCATCAAACAATTTTTGAGCTTGCCAGAAGTATCGAGCCTTGATTATACTCCCTATACACATATTTCACCAGATAGAGATAAAGATCAAAGAGTTTGATCTTAGGCCAAACTATCTACGCATAGCCTCCGCTAAATATATAACTAATCGCAGGTGAAGGCGGAGTCGGCGCAGACTGAGAGGAAATTAAAGTAGAGCTACAGGATTTGGAGGTCAATCACAAGGCGTAGAAACTTGCAATTTGGCCGGGCCAACCGACCTCGCCTTGTTGGCGATGGCATAGTCGCCCGACAAGACGTCGTTGTCCTTGAGCCGAGCTTCCGTAGTCAGGGGCCGTTATTCCTTGCTGTCTTTCGACCGTGGCGAGCGACGATTTGTATTCCTATACTCAGACTAGTGCCTTCTCTACGTCCAGAGAATCCCCGCTGAGGTGTTGCGGCTGCCACATCCTCCTTCCCATTACCAGGTCGCGCACGACCCATATTTGGGAAGACTGCCTCCTTGTAGTGCGGCACGAGAACCGGGTACCACTTCTGTGCGTATCGATCGGAAGCTTGGTCGCGTGGGCTCGTCTAAAGAGTTTGACGTCTGTAGATCGAGTCCTGAGGAGGAGGAGGAGGAGGAGGAGGAGGGAGCTCGATATGCCGAGCTGATAGGACATAACACCATCCTAACACCATCGCGAAGACAAAGTTGCCCGGAGAAGCGTTCTGAAGGTCTTCAAACCCTGGCCAGAATGTCTCGTTTGTGACTTGACAGCAGTAGCCCCGGCTTATGGGTACAGTGTCGCAAGCCTGTAGGGATTATTGATCATGGACGAGGACCGACCAGCAGGAACGAAGAGGAATTGGAGCGACGGGAAAGGGCGAGAGGTACGGGTGAGGAGGTGATTTTGGAGGAGAAAAGAGTCCGGAACTCTACGGGAAGGGAACGATTCGCGATCGGATGTGATGATCAGCTATACTTTGGATTATCAGCAACCTGTCAGCAACGAAAATGGGGGAACATGCTGTCCTGAGCCGTTCCAGCGCGCCTTTTTTACTCTCCACAAGGTAGGGGCAGAACGCGATCAACACCCGAGCACCGAGTTAGTGGCCCGCCAAGCCACGCTACCCGGCATAACTGCGGCAAAATCCGGGACCAAAACTAAGGTCCTTACTCCTTCATCAATCCCAACACACCACCATGTCCGACCAAGACGCCCTGACACCGCGTGTAATCATTTTTCGCCATGGTAAGTTCTTCGCTTCACCAGATTAAAATGAACCGTTTGTTGACGATACACGTGCTGTAAACAGGAGAGACGGAATGGGCCAAGTCCGGCCGCTTCACGAGCTTTACAGAGATTGAGCTGACCCAGGCGGGCGTTGCGCAGGTCTTCTCGGTGGCAGCGAGGCTCGTGGGTGCCGGCAGACTCCTCGACCCACGCCGCCTTGTGCAGGTGTTTGTCAGCCCAAGGGTGAGGGCTGTAAAGACCTTGGAGCTGTTGCTGTCGGCCTACCCCGATGTCGTCGCAGGGAAGGTTACCTATACTGAGGACATCACGGAGTGGAGTTATGGCGATTATGAAGGACGTAAAGACCAGGAGATCAGACTTTTGAGGAAGAAGAGGGGTCTAGACCAGGAGAAGGAGTGGGATATCTGGTTAGATGGGTGTGAGGGTGGAGAGTATGTTGTGCCCTTACCTGGTTATTGCTAATGGGCTGTTGCTAATACCTTAAAGATCAAGCCAGCAAGTTACCGAGCGGCTAGACAAGCTTATCTCGCAGATTAGAGAGATGCAGAAGCCTTACATGTGTGGAGAGAAACCCGCTGATGTCCTTCTTGTACGTCCTTTCGCCCTTCGTATTAGCCCTTTATTTTGCTCCCCAGCTTTACCTATAGCGGCTGAGAGATGAGAATTGCAGGTTGCACATGGCCTTATCCTTCGTTGTTTTGTGAAGCGATGGCTCGGTTTATCAATTGATAGTCCTCTCCAGATGATATTAGCCCCCGGGGCAATGGCTATTTTGAGGTATGCCTTTTCTGATAACTTAAGGTTATAGTAAGCTATAGCGCTAACGTTAAATTACACCGACCGATAGCTACAAAAAGAATAACATCAACGAACCGGCCATCCACATTGGCCTAGCGCTTCCATCCGAGGAGGAGAGTAAGTTCTAGATGAGACGGTAGTGATGTGAGAAAAGGAGGGTAACGAAGGAGTATGCTGTTCCAACCCGCAAAGTCTTAGCCTACATGAGATCTGGCATCCTGAAACTCATTTTCTCTGTAATCAAACAGATACTGGAACACTGCCGCTCAGCCCGGAGTCGGCCCCGTCAGCCGCCGGAGCTGCCTCCTGGCTGGCCCTAGTGATGGAGAATAACTCCTCGTAGGCATTGCCCAGTTCCTCATCATAGTCTATTCGCGACCGAAGGACTTCGCGGCCAGCAGCGAACTCATCCCCGTTCCATAGCCTATACTTTAGCAGGTCTGACGACGCGAGGATCGACATCGTCTCGGCGTCCGCCGACTCGGCTAGGATGAACAGCAGCTGGACCCCCTTTAGGCGGCTGGTGTCACACCGGTCGATGAAGAGCTTCAGCACAGCGTGGTTGTTATAGATCATCGCCATCGTAAGCGGTGACTGTCCGTTACTCGATATGTAGCCCGGGTCAGCGCTATAAGTGAGTAGGATATCCGCACATTCGACGTTTTGCATGCTGGCAACCGTTAGCAGCGCTGTTCGACCCTCCGGGTTGCACGCGTCGACCTTGGCGCCGAATTTAATGAGCAATTTGACCATCCCCAACAGACCGCCGAAGCTGGCGGCAGTGAGCGGGCTGCTGCGGAACAGGCCTTTTGGCACTTCGGGGTTGGGATTTGCGCCGGCCTCGAGGACGATGCGGAGGGCATCGTCGTTGTGACTATCGACTGCATGCAGGACCGTAGTGCGGCCGCTTACATCCATTGTGTTTAAGGGGGAGCCGCGGTCGATCAGTAGTTTCATGTCAGACAGCTGGGCCAGAGCCGTGGCCCAGTCAAGTGCGGTGCGGCCCATGGCGTCCGTGACAATGCTGTGGATATGGGGAAATTGCTGCTCCTAGCCGCCAGTCCGTGCTTCCCGGATCCCCGCAGCGCGTCCCACCCACACCACCCGCATCGCCCACATCGCTCGTCTAACAACCAACGTCACACGTCGTCGCCATGCTCCCGTTCGCGCTTCCTAAAAAGGCAACCCCAGAAGACGCGCGGAAGAAGGCCGGGTACACTAAATGGCAATGGGACAGGTTCTACGTATGCAGGCGGCCTAGAAATAACGGCGCGATTGCTAAAGCTAGACAGCGCCTCACCAAGTCGGAAGCAAAAATGGTTCACCAGAAGCACCCAGACTGGACGTGGCCGGCGGTACCAGTTGAGGAGAAGGAGGAGATGATGAAACGGGTTAACGCTGAGTTAGCCGCATGGAACATTCCCGAGGTTGGGGAAGACGTGTTTGGCTGGCGGATGTCATTAGCGATCCGAGACTGCCGCCATACTGCAGGTATGTATGGCATAGAAGCAGCAATATTCCTCTAATCATAATAGGGAGTCGCACACGCCATGCAAGCCAATCGACAGACGCTCATTCCGAGACGGGGCAGCCTGCTGCAAGCCAAGACTCAACCCCTGCCCGCAACGCTGGAGAAACCGTGCGACGCCTTCAAGAGGGTAGTCTATGGCCAATACGGAAGATGAGCAAGCTGCGCAAGAGCGGATTGGGACATTGAGCATGGGAGCTGTTCCTCCTCTGTATGTTGACCCACTACAGCCATCTAGGGAAAGGCTCCGACGTCTCAGGCATACCTAGTCCACCCAAGGAGCTCGAGGACAGGCGAGGCATCACCGGGGATGTGCATGACCGCCCGTGTAACCACTATAGAAGATGCTGAATCAAGATTTGCTCGCGGAAAGTTTTGGTGTAGGAACCCCGGCATCGCGTTCCACCTCCTGAGCTCGTTCTTCGCGTAAGGGCGTCACCTTAACAGCGCTTTTATACAAATCCTTCGCAGAAATACGCATGGTATCGAACTAAAGACACTCCGAAGCATCGCCACGCTCGCCAGAAGAGGATAGTCCATCGTTATGCGCAAAGTTGTGCGCAGCCCCTCTTGCAATCTCTTTGGGCGCAGCTTTATTTTCGTCAAGGTGTAGCACTCTTATATTTTTGGCGGCGAAGTTAAGTTGTGAACTACGCCAACATAGAAGTAGAGAAGATAGTACTCTAGTTTACCATTCTAAGACGGAGGCTCGAATCCTTGAAGAATGCCCATCCATGTATTCGCCAGACCTTGGGGTTCGACGCACTTGGTCAGTAATGTAGTGAGGTTCTCTAACTAGTAGTTGTAAGGGGACATGTTCTGTGTTAGCTCCGCCGGCCGGACTCTAGTTTCAATAACCATGTCGGCTTGCGCAAGTAGGAATTCCATTAGCTTCGACGCATACCAGCGCGGATTGTATAGATTCCTGAAGGCATTGCAGCGGCTACGGCAGTGCACACCGGAAGTGTGTATAATACGCAGTAGAGTCCTGCCCCGTGCCGGCGAAAGCATTCCAAAGGAATGCGCCGATTTCGACTATCGTCCCGTTGTCGCGTACGTGTACCTCGAGTTCCTCGAATGTTGTTGTTTTCAACTAGGATATCGACACCGAAAGCGGCACGTATGGTATTATGTACCTGCCATGTCTAACGCTTACCCGTAGAATAGAGACCCCGTTCGCCGCAGATCTGCCTTCTGGCGGCCCCCACGCCGAATAATCATCGCAAGAACTATTCTACTAACGGGAAAAGGAAGGAGGAGAAAACACGACCAGACATAATACATTCAAATTTTCTAGTAGATAACCCATCCTGAGTGCGCGGGGTGAAGCAGCTGAGGCTTGCTGTCGCGCGCCTCCCGTCCCCCTAGTCAACCAATAGCCAAATTTTCTGGTTCCCCGATAAAGGAGTCAATCCTATCGTGCAAGAATTTGTGCATATTGCGGTATGCCAAACAGACCACGGTTGGTTTCGTACAGTGGAGCGTAGTGATTTTCCCGTCCCGAATTTCGTCAAGGTAGAGAATGACCTGATAGCTCGAGACGACATTGCCTGAGATCACGATAGTCGATCTCATTCTTAGGTCCGATTCTTTGTAGCGGGTTTGCAGCCATTTTATCTGGTCTTTCAGAAGTCAGTAGGCCAGTCAGTTACAGAAGAAGGTTCTCACCTCCCACCAACCTGGGCAGCGCATTGTCGAGTTCGATCATGTCCATATTGAGGAGTCAGGTGAATGGTGTTTGGGATGGGATGGATGCTCTACGCCCGCGCATTTTTTTATATATACCGCTGCGGGTCTGAGCTCTCCTGCGGTGGTCTTTGTTGCATTAGCGTCCCACATTTACCTAGGTAGCAGAACGAAAGATCAGCTCGTGTAGATGCATCTTTCGAAGAAGCCTGCATGCGGACTGCCCGAAAAGGGGCATGTGGGGAGGGGCTAGGCGAACAGCGTACGCAACATAACTCTACAATCACTTGAGTCAGACGCAGTGCGCAGTACACGCCACTTCGCAGGGCCTCCCTGTTAAAGGTGCTCAACACGCACACCATGGACCCCCGTCTCTGTGCCGTGCAACTACCTCGTCTGCCGAGTGACGCAGCTCATCGGGCCAATCATCAGATCATGCCTCACCGGAGTGGGTGGTGCTTCTACCTACTTTATGGCGTAGCGCAGGTAAACTCAAGAGAGGGGAACACAAGTGAGAGGAGATTGCATGTGAGATCATGCCTCATTCTCGACCCGGTTCCTGTAGAGCCAAATACATGGCGCGGTCACTCGCGCCCTGGCACAAGGGCATCACCCAAATCGATGTATTCTGGATGCCACGCTAATGTTGGCGGGCCATATCCCCTAGGCTTGCCGCTTCCTGCTTCAAGAATGCCGCGTAGCCTGCTAACTCGCCAACGCGGTCACGAGGAAGAGCCGCTCCATTCAACAAGATCCTGCGATCGTCGTCACAGTTTACGACATCCTCAAGCTGGAACTTGGTATAGATATCAAGCCTAGCACAACCTCTAACTCTCGACAAACTTTCGGCCGCCTTGTAAGCCAACTCGCTAATAAGCTCCTTCACCCTCTCCCGCCACTGTTCGGGTAGATTCCAATCCATGCCCACAAGTCGAATTATACCACACTCTTCCCTCAATTCCACCAGCGCTCGCACAAGCACGCCGTCTGTGGCTGTCTTGATATCGAGTATGCACTCGATGTGTGATATCGAGCTCCAAGGATTCCCGCCATCATTGTGTCGAGAGTTCAGTGATCTTCTCTCTTTCTCCACACTCGCAGCCTCGCTTCGCTGTGGCAGTGTATCAGGACTTGCGCCTCCCTGGTTCCTTTCGTCCCCCTCCGACCGAAAACACCCGCTATCTCCGTCTTCTCGCTTCTTCGCGAATAGCTCTCCCTGCTCACCCATCTTCCACATCTTAAGACTGGACTGGGCCAGCGCTGTTGTAGAGTTGCGAATAAGGTTCGTCGTGGATTGGGAGTGCGGAAGCGTTAAGTTTGGCACTCGACTCTGATCCGAGCCGCCCTCGGTGCGTTGATGGACAGGGCCTGGAGGAGGTTGTGACGGTGGTTGCTGGTATTAGTGTGGGGTAGCCAATGCTGGAGGGTTGGTTACCAATCCTAATACCTTCCTAAGCGGACGACGGTAGGCGCAGCGCACGAAAGCGTGATCGGGACGAGGGCAAGGCTAGTCGTGCAGGAAGGCAACTGGTAAAAGACTGGAGGACGTCTCTGCCGGGAGCGTGCATGATATATTATAGAGCATGGGCCCTTACTTACCCTTGGGGGAAGTGGCTCCGCGGCGGGATGCAAAGCGAGCGGCTTTACTTCTAGTTAGCCGATGGGGTATCCGCCATCGCGGTATAAGCTTAGCGTGGCTATTAGGCGCTCTGTGCGGGAGTAGGGATGGTCTGGTTAGCTCTTCGAGGGCTGGAGCAAGCGCTGGCGTGCTTAATTAGAAGCACGACTATTTAGACAAACTGCAGGTTAGAGAAGGTAGCATCTCTTGCCTCTTTAAAGCCAAGCTTGCAGCATCACGTACAGCCGGACTAGTATAGACAGACTACTAGGAAAAGATTACGGCAGCCATCTTTCGGTGCGCTCGTGTATTCTGTGGAAGATTCTATCTACATTACATTACCTAGTGAATCGTCCTGCCTAGCGCTGAAGCCAACCCTGCAGCTGGTCTTGCAGCTAAGCGCTGTACCATCCGCCTGCCTTATTTAATGTTCTGCTCCTCTGCTGCCTCTGCTACCTCTGCCGCCTCTGCCGCCTCTGCCTTTCGTCGCCTTATTTCCTCCTGCGCCTGCGCTAAAGCCTTGGCATGCTGCATATTCACTCGCGCAAACTCGTCTTGTCTCTTGTTATACTCCTGGACTCGGTCTCACATAGATTAGTACAGACTCGGCTTGGAGGCTTTATTACGATACATACTGAGCTCCTCCTGGCTGTCCAGCCGTCTAAGGAGTTTCTTAAAGTCTTTGCTAGAGATCTCGATTAATCTACCTTCCGCTTGGGCTAGATTGTCACGCGTAACCGTGACTTTCATGCTAATAGGCTCAATACTGTCTAGAACAGGAAGGCCGATACCCTCGGGAGGATGGGAGTAAGAGACCTGCACATTGCCGTTTTCTAGTCTCTTCGATGGGGGCGAAAACATAAACGGCTAGTCCGACAGTTCAGGAGGAAAGTTCCCTGCCGCCTCCAAGGCACTGTCGACTATGTCGCACTGTTCCCGGAGAGGGAGAGACATAGTAAAGACTAAGACGGAGTTCCGGCTACTGCAGATGTTCTGGGAGGGAGGTACTGGAAAGGGGATGGGGCACGAGGAGATACGGAAACAGGTGTTAGATTGCGAAATTCAGAGCTTTTATACTATTGTCGGGCTCTCAGCTTCTTGGCGTTCTAACACGCAGGCAGGGTTGGATAGGTCTCTTTACCCGCCCGCATCGTCGCTATTGGCCCATTCCCTCATCCAACCCAGGCCGCAGGGGGAGCATGCAAGCACGGGAGATGCTAGCGGCAAGAGATAGGCTAGATTAAAAATAGTAACTACAAGAGAATGCGGTGAGTTGGCATGAGGGGCCGGAAGCTGCAGGAAACATATGGAAGGACGTAAGCGATTGGAGTTGAACCGGATTCGTCGTTGGGCGGCGTTCACTTGTCAAGCCGACTCGCCCGCAAGTTTCTTCCCTATTACGTTCCTTTCGTGTACCGAAGATTACGATGTGGGCTGGGATAGTTCGGTGTTAATCGACGTACACCCCAATGCTCTTGTTGACGCTCTAAAGCCATGGCTCCCCCTATTCTCGGTTTTCCAGACTCGGATGGCATACAGAAGAAAAAGAATAGCGAGTTCTAGGAGAGCATGTGTCTCTTCAGATTAGCAGGAGAAGTTTTGTCGTGGTGGCTCTCTTACCAAGCAATACACATGGATGAGAGAACTCTGGTAGTGAAGAGGGAACAAAAGGGCGAGAAGAACGTCTGCGAGAGTTGCGAATCCGAAAAGACATCCAATGAGCTTAAATTTTCGTGTCCTCGTGGTCGGCCACTTGTAGATGTAAAGAGCGATAGCGGCCGTCACTGTAAAACGGAAGACGGCGTTTGCAATAAAAGCGAGCGCTTTCAATGGTACCAGAACACCACAGAGCTGAAACGTGATGGTGACTACGGCGGCGAGGATTAACCCTAGACGTAACCACAGATGTTCCGACAGGACCGGGGGAAAGAAGCCGACGATTTGCCAGCAAATATAGGTCTGGGCTTCTTAGCAATTGCCCATCTACATAGGCGAATACAAACCTCAATCACGAGCCCGTTCGTCCAAGGCAACGTCAAGGACATCCAATATGCCGGTTCATTCCCAGTATATAGCCAGGCGAGGAGAGCTGCCTCAGAACCCAAGCAGCCAATTGCGAACCCGAAGGCACACACCCTATGCTTCATGCCTTTCCCCCAGGGGCGGTGTTCAGCGATACCTGGAAGGTTTGCATCTCCCCAGGGACGGCGCGCATGGTGGTGACCGAGCAGCCAGATGAGTCGCGCGACGACCAGAGCGCCTACAGGCCATAGGTTAATCATGTCGTAAGAAGGGAAACGAGGATAACCGATGTCGGCGTAAATCGCAGCGTACAGGATGCAGGCAAAGAACGTGCAGGAAGGCAACCGGTGAAGGACTGAGAAAGGCGGTAGGGCGGTGTGGACTGAAGGACGTTCCAGCCTCGTCGGGGACGTGCATGATATACATTCACGGCATCCCCACCCTTGCCCAGTTTCGGGGGGTTGCTGGATCAGAAAGCTGACGGAGCGTGCTCGGCTTACCTTGAGAAGCGAAGCCATAGACGGGTGGGAAAGGAGGCGAAACTGGCGGGGCAGAGCATCCAAGTTGCTTCGGGACCGAGACGGACCCTGGTGGAGGTCGAGTAGTCGGGTAGGGGCACCCCATTTGCGTGGGTTTTCTCGCCAAGGGGGAATGCCGCAGGGTTGATCTGGAGGTAGGGTGGCTTGGTCATCGGATCCTATCGCGTAAGTGTCCTCGCGCTAACCATCTTTGAATGCGAGCCATGCCCCTTCGCCGCACACGATCTTCTCGTACATCATGCCATTCTCTCCACCTGAGGCTTTCCCCCAAGAGCTCGGTCCGCGATCAAATTAAGATGTCCAGTACGGTCTCAGAGCTCGCCACAACCAACGGCCCCTTCAAGAAGTACCAGACTTCCTGCGGTGACGTGCGGATTATAACCTGCCCTAATCTCTCCACAGCGGACCGCCGGGTTCTTGGTTCGTGTTTGTTGGGTGGCGTTTTAATGCGGGCTACTTCGACCCGTGTCAGTTCTCAGTCGGAAGTGAAGCCATCATGGCAAGAGTTGGCTGGGTCAAGGCACTCGAGGGCCCTATCAAAGGGGATAAGAGTCACGGCCGAGGAACGTCGCCTCGAATAGGGCGCCCCCGGTTTCCGTTTTAACCATAGAAAGCCGCGGAGGGCGGCCCGCGCCATGCTCCATTCAATGTTGTAGATTGCCACCGCTTTGGAGGCGGCTACCGCGCGCTTCCCGTCCTGTCGGCTCCATTTCCGTTTGGCTTTCCTACTTTCTTCCGCCTTCCTCTCTCCCCTCACCCCCATCACCATGGCGCCCTCCACCTCCGCCTCGCGGCCCTTCAGTTTCTTCCGCCTGCCAGTCGAGCTGCAGCTGCGCGTCCTGCGTTGCGACCCCTTCTCGACTCTCGCGTTGATTCGCGCTTCGAACAGCGTGCGAGACCTCTTCCAAACACACTCCAACTCCGTCCTCCGGTCCCTTCTTCACCTGTGGCCTCCACAATTGCGCCACCTCATCAGGACACTTCTTGCCGTTCGCCAAGGGCTACTACTTTCTTCTCCGGCAAACAAAGAAGATATTCGCCAGCTCTATAACCGCTATCTCGAGCCGGCGTCGGGCCACCCCGAACATATCGATTTCCCCCCGCTACAGACGCTGAAGCTCCTTTGCACGCTGACCCTCGATATCGACATCCTCTCCCAAATCATCGTCCATCGGGCAGCCGATGTGGCTGCGAAAGCATTCCGAGCTCCCGCGATCGAAGGATGGCCGCCGCTCACCAGCATTCTGAGCCAAGAAGAGCTCCACAGGATCGAACGAGCAATTCTTTGGCTCCTGTTATATTTTCAGCTCCGGCGCCATAAACCGGGGGGCGCGTATTTCTCGCTAGCAGACGTTTTCATCGGCGAACTCTCGAGCTGGGAAATCGAGGAGTGGTTCACCGCCGTGAACTTCGTCTGCTATTTCGTGTACCACGTCAACGAGTCCGAGTTCCGGCCCTTATACAATCAGTACAGCTTTCGCTCCTTCTTTAAAGACATTTCCCTGGATTCTTTCCTGAGAGCGGCACGCAGTATAGTAGAGTTCTCACCTTGGCATTCTCTACGAAACGCCATAAACGAGCATCTATCGTGTGCATAAATCAGTAGAAATCTTGGCAGCCTCTCGATTTTCGCGCGCGCGGGCGGGGTCAAGAAAGGACGCCTTTATCTACAAATCTCTCCTCAACGCTTTAAAAGATTTTCTTCAAAATTTGAAGGAGACTTCTCCAATACGTGAAGAAGAGTTCTTTAAATTTTAAAGAAAATCCATGTAAGCATAAGAAACTTCGCATTTTCTCTTCAACGCTTTAAAGAATTCTCTTCAAATTTTAAAGAACTCTTCTCCATATGTTGAAGAACGATCCTTCAAATTTTAAAGAGAATCGAAGGGGTGGTGTTTTGTGCATCCTTCATGAAGGAGGTTTCTTCATTTCTTTGAATTTCTTTTCAACGCCGTAAAGGATTGTCTTCAAAATTTCAAGAACTCTTCTTTATATCTTGAAGAACTTTTCTTGAAAATTTGAAGAGAAAATATCAAAGTTTAAAGAAGTTGATTTTTCGCGGCGCGCGCAAATTCGTGAGGAAGCCGCCAAGATTTCTACGGATTTATGCACACGATAGATGGATCTGCAAGCCCGGCCTTGGCAACACCTCCGCCGTTCCCTTCCCGCTTCATAGCTTCGCTTCTCAAGCACTTGAGGTTAGTCGATCGCGCCCCATCAGCTTTCCGGAGCTTATCGTCGTGCCTGCGGCTGTGAAGTGCCGTTGAATCTGTAAACTGGAAACGGCCATAAAGATCTACAACGCTGGCCTCCTGCGAAGGATCCAGATGTCAAGATTCTCCCTATCCTACGCAGCTTGACGTAGCTAGACGCTGGGGGGCTCACACGGGGTACCCAGCCAAGAAGCAGGATTCCCCGAGTAGCCGCCGCCTCTCAGTTTCAGACGCCACTGTTGGGGAGCAATTTCTCAAAAGGCAGGGGCCACTAAGGTCGATCCTTCATAACTCTCGGGGCATATCATGCATGCTCCCCCAACTACCTCAGGTGGGCTGGAACGTCCTCCCCGTCCTTCACCTTGCCACCAATCGCTTCAGTCCAGCTCTCTCGATATCGCCTCACGAGATCTCGGAGCCCACCGCGAGCAACGAGGCGTTCGCGGTCACATAATCAAACGCGGAAAGCCGAATCAGGCGGTTCTTTTGAGGGCGCAATGCCTATCGGAAGGTTACCGTTTTCATGCGATTAATGCCGCCAAGGTAAATCTCGGTGTAATGGAAAAGCCCCGTGCAGTACATGCTAACGGAGAAAGCAGCCGTGTATTTACCTGCATGTGTAAGACATATAACGTACTTTATCATCGAACCCCCCAAAAATGCCAAGCCCCCACCAAATGCCACTATCTCTATCATGAAGCCCTCCACAAACGCTCAATCGACTTTAGACGAATCCCGGATACAGCTTGCGCTCTAGGCTATTCAACAGGGCCTAGAGCTAAGCTTGCGGCGCGCTGCAGCTCTCTATAACGTAGGGTGGGAGAAAGTCCGCAGTCGACGCGACGGAATCGCTCCACGACGCGAAAAGACACCTAATCGAACAAAGCTTACTGCGAACGAAGAGCAGGCGATAGTCGAGCATATACTCAACCTAGACACGCGAGGATTTGCCCTCTAGCTTGCTACTGTTTAAGATATAGCTAACAAGCTGCTTACTAAGTAGAGTAAGAAGGTAGTAGGCTAAATCTAGCTAAACTACTTTATTACGCGCTATTCTAAGCTTAAAATATAGCTTAATTATAAGTA